GGCGAACTGAGCTGCCTAGCAGCTGCTCGATTTGCAGTCGCACATGTATCGGCCAGGATTCGGCATCATTCGGTCGCATAATTTCCCGCACTGGCAATCATACCGCGCGACGATAATTGGCACACGACCGACAATCGTCGTAATTTCGCGTTCCCGCTGCGCAAATTCTGACGTGTGACACGCGACGGATCGGCGCTCCTGGGAGGCACCTCATTCAATTAGCCACTCAGTTACTCGCATCACATCGCATTTACCCATCAGACTCTCGCCCGGTGAACTCTCTGACGACCCTCGCCGAATCTCCTCGTCTGCGCGCCGTGGGGGCCGCCACGAATTTGGTTTCCCCGCGAATTCGTGATTTAAACTTTTCGCGAACGACGACGTGTGGGGGTATCTTCCTCGGGCGAGACTCACGTACAGAAGGCAAGGAGGATCTCACGACGCTGTCATGCAGTAAAACGGCTTTAGTTCGCGTGTCAGAACGTCGGCGGTTTTGTCTCTCCGCCACGCTTCGTCTGTGAAACTTCGTTAGTTTTCCTATCCGCGTGTCTCTTTCAGCGCTTTATCAAGTGCTCGTTGAATCAACGGCTTGTTAAAATCAAGAAATTGGCTTCTTCTCAGTGGCTTGCCTTCTATCTTGTAGAAAGAGACTAAACAATTTAGTACTACACATTTAGCACTAAACAAAAGATATTATTATAGATGAATTTTTTACAATTATAGTATTTGTTACCGTCTTTCTGCTTCAAGTTTAACTTAAAATTCACAAGCAACTTTTCATACAAATACGGATGAATAATTTCGTATATTACAAGTTACAATCTTCTTAATTATAACATTTCTATGGAGAACGACAAACAACAGCCCTTTTTCCAGGGTCAAAGTAAATGATCGCCAACCTATCGACGAAGGTGGCGGAAGTCGCGCCGTGGAGCCGCAGAAGTTTCTACGAATCCGCGGCTGGTTGCAAACTTGCCGAAGGGTCGAAACCGCCGGCGCCGTGAAATTACTCGACGGGTACCTCCCACGGGGCCGAACTTGTCCGCGACAATTTCAAACTTATTTTAACATTCATATAAGCCCCGTGCCCTCGCCTCGTGTGCGAGCACCCCTGAACCATCGTCTACGCATCCCTTTCGCTGCGTAACCCTAGAAGCGATCCATGTACGACGTTCCTTCCTCGATGTAAAGACGTGCAAGCATAAGGGCGGTTTGGGATTTACATAAGATTATGCGTAAGCTTTCGTACGCCTCGCGGTAAGGGGATCGACGAAATGATGTCGCGGTGAAACAACGCTCCGGGGTATGCTCATCTCGCACTGATAATTATAATAAAGTGGCGTTGTATGACGTACGAGCGATGTGATAAGCGTTATTGTCGATTCCAACGCGGTACAGGCAATCACATATGATGTAAGATTCTTTTATCGGTTTTGCAATGCATTTTGATTTCAAATCTTGTAAAAAGTTACAAGGTATTTGCAGTATCATTATACATACGAGAAAAAAATTTGTTCAGAATAATTATCTTAGTTTTTACAATCTTATTATTACTTTGTTTATTACGTGTTTTACATTTTATTTGATTATTTTTTAATTTATGGTTTTATCATTAATTGAAATATATTTTTTACAATCGTATGTTTATGTATAGATTCTTCTAAACTAATACTGATAAATGATATGCAATATTGCAATATGCGCATGTCAAAGTTTAAAACTAAATTAATACGGAGTAAGTTACAAATTATTAATTTATATAAATAAAACGTATAAATAATAAATAATTCTTTTTTTTGCATGTGTGTGGTATAAAAATCACTTTGTATATGCTAATAAAAATCGGTTTTTGTTAGATATACAAACTACTTTATATTTCAATGAGCCAATAGGATTTATTATCACGCATAGCCATTTTTTGCCTCGTGGCGTTGTTAAATCTTACTACCTACCCCATGATGCGTTTTATATTCATAGTCTGTGCAAAAATTGCTCCTAGAGCACAATAAAGATTATACGAGCCATAAAGTAAATTTAGCCTACCCTGCCGATATTTATTTAAGCGTGGGAGATACGCTATGATTTCTTTTTTAATTTTTCTTTGTGCTCTTATTTTTAGCTTTTTTTTATGTTATTGTTCTTTGTTATTCTTCTTTATTGCTGTAAAAGTTTAAATAAATTTAATTGAGACAAACCGACAGTAGTTAATGCAACATTATATCGTATCGACCGGGTGAGAGATTTCCTCTGCTAGACGTTGATGGTACAGACTGGATTCCGAATAAGTCTGCACTCTCATGAAAATAGCTAGAACTACACGTTCACCGCGAAACACGGTTAACAAAGAAGATTCCATGGTGGAAGAAACTCAGGAGTGCTTGTCCTCGAGACAAATTTCATATTATTCTGTGTAGATAAAAAAAAATACGGAATTAATTATATTAAATTAATTATATTATATATTGTAAGCAAATATAATTAAAAATAAAGACATAAAAATAAATAAAATAATAACGCTTAAAGTCTTAGACACAATGCGAAGCAGCAGTGGCAAAAACAGTAATAGGAATAGTATAGAAATAAGCGATATATTATACTATAATTGTCGTCTCCCGTTGCATAATGCCACGAAAAAAATAAAAAGGCCAATCAATCTGATCGCGTATAGACTGTAGTATACCCTTCTATCTACTTCAAGATTATAGCGTATATAAACAAAATAAAAAAACAGAGTTCCAACTCGTTAGAAATTTATTGCTATTGCTTTATTCTGCGTTCCTACGTGCATTGACATGTGCATTCCAGAATGTTGGATTCCTCTGTTTCTATCGCTATCGCTGTTGCCTCGCATTGTGTTTACGGCTTAATTCATAACTGCGGCAACATCATGATATAAAAACTTAAATAAGATATAAAGTTTTTATATTATGGGCAACATAACGGTATATGATGTCATGTTCTCGTTGGTTATTACGTTATTAGAAATGTATGCACAAAAGTATATCCAATTTCCTTCCACCATGGAAGATTCCATTCTGTGGAAAAACTGTTGGAAACAAGTTACGATCGCAATCTCGAATCGCAACAGACATTTTTGGAAAAATTATTTATCGAAATTGCATATGCTCCGTGGTCCAACGTGAAAAAAAACACATTATACGTTAATGTTTAATTAATAAAATTAAAAATTTTTTTATTTTCTTCTTTTGTAGAAAAAATGTTGCGACCACGAATAGTGTCCTTCTTTCGACGAGATACATCCGTTTTTATATATGCCTTTTGCAATAACCTTCATACGTCACAAATTTCAGCAGGATAAATTGAAACGAAATAAAAGCTGTGAACCTATATCCGTAGCCGTAGTAGGTACCATAATATTATATACAATAATAATATGCTTTCTTTAGTTCCTTTACATAGAGTATAATAAAAAGATTTGCTCAAGTTATAGATATAATTTATGCAAAAATATTCGCTATATTATTATTATATATAAGTCATGTACAATTTTTCTATTTAAATAATCTTGCATTTTAACACTGACTGGCTTGTTTGAAGCATTTTGTATAATATTCTGTTAATCTGAAATATTTTATATATATGTTCGTTTTTGTGAAAGTTATCTATAAGACACAAATTACACTTTTGTTACAAGCTAATTTCAAATATGCATAACGTTATTTTATTATATAAAATTATTTAATATCAAGGAGAAAAATATTCGGTATTAGGTAATGATTGTTGTAATTCCGTTTAGTACCCAATTTAAACGAATTTAAAATATAGTTGCTCACTTGGGATTTATAACTATGTCAGGACTATTAAAAACTTTTTCCTTGTATGATTCTGCATATGAGTTAAAAGTGATGTCGGTATTCTATACTTTCGCGGCATGACGCAACGCAACGTTTCATCGGTGCTTACTGCGGAAAACAGTTAAATTTTTTTCTGTTAAAAAAATCACTGCAAGAAAATGTACCGGTAGTCGTTAATTCCGAGCTATTAAATCTTTGATAATACATCTTTATAATACGAATGTAAGAAATGTGTTTATGATATATTTTCTAGCAGCGCTTGTTATCTGCGTGCGCGAAAAGAGATATATATTTTTATGAATTTATGACGTCTGATTTTTTGTATGTATATATATATATATACCATATATATTTAATTACAGTATCGTTAAATATTAGTTTTCAGCGCTTGTAATTTTAAATTAGATTTTTATGTTTACAATTTTCCAGAACAATCATATTTTTTTGTTATGATTAATATTATTTTAAATATACTGCAGTTAAAAAAACTTTAAATATGTCAATTTTATTTTTTTTAACAAATCTTTATATTTTAAACATGGAAAGTGATTAGATCTTTAATAATTAATAATTGTTGACAATACATTTTGCGTTTTCAAGATATTATGCGGATGTGGTAGACTTGACGGCACCGAAATTTCAGAAGCTGTTTCAACAGCCATACATTTACGGCATAAAAAGATGAAACCATTATTTTATGCTCCGGACATTGAGATTCGTGGTGTAGTCAATCATCTTACCAGAGAAATGGATACTAAAAGTTCCAGAAATGCTCTCGTTGAAGGTGCCAGATTAGCAAGAGCGTGCATAAAACCTCTATGCGAGTGCGAAGTTTGTACACATGGTGCCCTTATTATACCTGGAGGATTTGGCGCTGCACGCACTTTGTATGTGTCGATATGATGATATGGAAATAGAAAGTAAAATAGAAAAAAGTAAAATAAGATTACGTTAATAAAAATAATAAATAATACATGCATAAAATGAAGAGATATTTTTGTCCTTAATCTTAACCCATTAATGCGCAGAAGGACAAAATTTTTTGCTTGATTTCAAGATAATTTTTAACACACTAAAACATTTCATGTTGAAATATTTCAACGAAATTTGGTATTCTAAGGTTTTGAGGGTCGCATCTCTTACGATGGCATCGTCAGAATTTAATTTCGACCATGTGGAAATTAAATATGACGGTTGGAACAAAAAAATGACGAAAAAATGATCGACTTTTTTTCTTTAAAAGTTGTTTCTGAACCGATAACAATTTTTCTAATTTTCGGCAAGTACACCATCAGTGTTCAAAATAATTGTACTTTAAGACCTCATGGTAAAATTTTTTGACTTTATCATGGCAGATCCAAAATGGCGGCCGAATTGATAAAATCTTGAAAATTTGGCGTTTTTTCGTACAACCTCATCAAATTTGAATTATGTCCAACTTCTTGTTAAATGTATACAACCACAGATCTATGATTTTGAGGTCTATATCTTTTACATTCACCGCTTTCAAAATGGCAAATCCAATATGGCGGACTATAAATTCGAAAAATCGCTAAATTTTGTATCTTTTTTTATTTTGCACACTGTTTGAAACCCTAATCTTCAAATTGTTAGAGTGTTAGGAGTGCGTAAAAATTCCGAAGATCTAACATGGCGGATCCAACATGGCGACCCAACAACTCCCAAAATTCAATTTTCTTTTATTACTCTAAACTTTAATGGGTTAATGAAATAGTTAATATGCGTAGATGTTATAGATTTCGAAGGCATAGATTTCGATATTAAGATATATTGACGAAAAAAACTTTTTACGAAAAAGTACAGAAAAACTACATAGGCTAAGACATAATCTTAGAAATTCTTAATTTTTCGTAGATATTCGTAATGGGACGTAGAGTGACGTTATTTGAGGGCAAAGGATTTCTTGATTTTTCAAATAAATAACGCCACTCTACGCAGCTTTTCGTAAAAAATTTTCCGTCGGGGATTCTATAATAATTTCTAATTAAAGCAAATTTTTAATTATGTTTATAAAAAGATAAACTTTTTTTTATAAAGGAGTAATTTTGCCGAGAAGGGTACTGATTGTACTGTTCTACCTGACTTGGAGAAGCTCATCGAAGATTTTTATTGCGAAAACAAACCGATCGGCACTATGTGCATAGCTAGTGCACTTGTTGCTAAAGTGTTAAAGGGTGTAAAAGTTACACTTGGCAAGGAATGTAAGTCAGTTCGTTCTATCGTTAATATCCTGTGTTTTGTAATATTTGAAAATTATTTCTTAGCACCTAAAAAAGACTGGCCATATGCTGATGCTATCAAGAAGGTTAAGGCTATGGGCGCTAAAATAGAAATGAAAGATGTTAAAGGAGTAACGTTAGACAAAAATTACGGCGTTCTCAGTACACCAGCCTGGTTGTATGAACCAGCTACTTATGCAGATGTTTATGATGGTATTGGTAAACTTGTCACAATGTTAAAAAAATGCATCAATAAGTAATTCGTATGCAAATGTTTCTAAAAGTTACATATATATATATATCATGTTACTCTTTAATAGTTTATATTGTTTTATTTGTATACTATTTATACGTATTTTGTATTTATATATAAGAACAAAAATTTTTATTACATCAACTATATATTATTTTTGTAATGCAAATATTTTTGTTCCATACAAGTTGTTTGTAAAAATATTAAAATTATTGTCATCTACCGCATAAATATGCCTTTTTATTAAGAATGTGCGATCTCCGGATCAATTCATTAAAAATCAACTTAAAATAACCCTCTTTATTAAAAAAAAATTAGCGATTTTTTTACAAAGAAATTGGTTTAAAATAAACTTTTAGAAGAATCTTTAAGTTAGAAGAATCAATTTTTTTTGCAAAATAGATCGATTTAAAATCGTTATTACCGTTTGGAAAAATTGATTTTTTGGAGATCGGAACATTCCTACTTTTTGTAGAATTAACTTTTTGTAGGATTATGGGACAGGAACGTTATTTTTGTAAGAAATATATTTTATTTTATTTCTTTATCGCGCCCTTTTGAAATAAAGTAAATGGGGCACGCACATTTTGAACGTCAAAGTAGGTCAATAAGTCTAATAATACAGTTAAAATAATCAACAACAAGTGAAACAACAATAAATCGAGATTTGCGGCGAAAATTTTTCGTCGATTTAGAATTGTCTTTTTGTTTGTCTTTTGTTAGATAACATGGCAGTCTTCGCCGTGAATTCGTCCGGGGTGAAAGTCGTTCTGGAATTCTACAGAAATTCTGGCACGACCTCTCCAATACTCTTTATTTCATAATCATTGCAATTGGCAAGAAATGCGTTTAGAGATTTTCTTATCAAATCACAATTTCATCATAAATTTTGAACCTAAGCAGCATGGAGCAAAATAATTAACGTATTTTTATAATCAATAGTGAATACAAAATGAGCAGTCTTTATTAGTTTACTGAATATATGTATATGTGGATTTTCACATATTTAAAGTATAGCCAATTAAAATTAATTTTTCTGATGCACGCAAAGCCACGCGTATTTTGTGTAATATTTTACGGAAAAATGCGATGGCAACCCGTTTCCGCTTTAGCTAAAACATTAAAATATAGAAGAGTAAATTAAAATAATTTATTTCTAATAATACCGAAGTTTTTTGTAAGTCAATCCAACGCTATCAAAATTTTGTTGCGTGTATTTTCGTAGGTCTACGTCTTTTCGTTTCTTATTTTTACACTTTTAACATCTAGATTGAAAACTATGGTCTTTTCACAGGTCTACGTTTTTCCGTTTCTTATTTTTACACTTTTAACATCTAGAATATAAACTATGGTACGTTTCAAAGAAAGAAGAGCAACGAATTAAGGAAAACAGATCTCGTGCATATTCTGAAGTATATCCTATGTGCTTACGCGTTTCGCATAATTATAGGATAACGAGGCCGCGCGCACGAGCCTCGTGGTTTTAGCTCGAACGCAAGTGTCGTTGGTAAGAGTTACCGATTCCGGAATCGACTTACTCGAGCGTAACGTTCACGTACGAGCAAGTGAATTCAATCAACGTAAAAGGTCTCTGTGAATAATCGTTGCTAGTTAGCTTTGCAAGCGCCTTGCCGAAATGGGACAGTTTCTTCAGAAGGTGTTTGTATGACCGGCGAAACATATATAGCACCACATGGAATTTCTTAACCGACGCATTGTAGACCCGAAAAATCTTATATTTAGGATCCTTCAAACTCATGCGGTTACTAGCTTAGGGAATAATTTAAACGTTAAGGCCACGTGCGTTTTTTAGATCTAACGATTGGTCGATAAACAGGAACGGCAGTGCCTTATATTCTTAATGCTATTATCTTAAGATCTATTAATTAATCCAAATTTTCGCATCGCTCAGGAAATGATATAGAAGTTTTGTACAGTATTAAATTTACCTTCTGGAGTTGACGAAATCTATCCACAATCAGTAACACAGTTACTGATACTGGGTAAGATTCATTTAATATATGTTGATTAAAAACATTAATTAATTTCAAGAAATCAATAAAAATAATGTAATTTGTATATAAAATAAATAAAGGCTACGTTTACTTTGATAATAATAATTCAAATTTGCAGACATAATATAAAGAATATAATTGAGTAGATCTAACAGACTTACGTCAACTCCGGAAGATTGAAACAATAAACTGACGTTTTCGCTTATCTCTGTATCGATACAGAGTGTCGTCGGAATTCCAGTAATAGGAATTGTATACATATACCGTCTAACCGGCAACGCGTCGCGAGTTAATTTCAAAATACGATTCTTCAGTCGCCAGCTTTTCGGTTTGATCGAAAAGTTCGTATGCGCGCACAGTATCGTCCGCACATGAACAAAAATGCGAACCTTCTCTGTTCCTGTTGCACGTTTCAGTACATTCTCCTCCAATAATAGAAAAACGACGCTTTTCAGACTTTGGTTCTGATCTCGAGGCCAAATTCCGCGTTTGGGAGAAATCCCGAGGTTGCGTCCATATTAACACTTTAGCGATATTTCTTTACGCTCAGCTGAGAGCGAGCAGCGGTTCAACGGACATGCGAGATCTTCTAGCTTTGTCCTCCTCGTACTGTTTCATCTTCATGAGCTTCAACTTGCCCTTGCTCTGCTTTTTCCTTGGTATTTCCGTGGATACTTCTTCCGCGTTAGATCGCTCCTCTTCTTCCAACATCCTAAGAGTCTCGATGATATTCCTCGGTTCCGTGACACGTCCAGTAGAACTGCCGTTCTTGTTAGCGTATACTACGGAAAGATGCGAGAAACTGGACTTCGGCGGTGCCGTAATGTCGGCAAAATCACGGAAGTTTGCGAAGAAGTCCCCGCCCCGAATTGGCTGCGGTTTTGGGTTTCTATAATACTGCGCACGACCACGATTGTGATAGTACGGATTGTAAAGACTCTCGTCAATCGCGTACTCGTCGTTCTCTTTATCCTCCGGATAATAAGTACCTCCGCGGATCACGCCGAAATTACCTGACCCTAGTATAGAGTGTTGATCTTTAGTCGCGGCGGTCTGATAATTACGATCGCGTTGGAAGTAGCCTAGGAATCTGTTAGGACGATATCGCTGCTGTTCCACTGAAAGTCTGTGATTTCCAAAGAGTTCCGCAAAGGTCGGGAAGAAATTTTGACTTTCGGTTTCTAAACTTCTGCCTGCATCAGCAAGCTGTGTAATGGCGGTATGATCCGTGTTCTTTGTCTCTTGATCTTTAGAAGTTTCAGGGTTCTCAACTTCGGATGATTTCTCGTTACTCTCGGTAGTATCGGTTAACGTCTCGTTCTGATTAGTCTTTTGTGTGCTTTCCTCTGTGTGATCTGGTGGCGAAATCGTTCCGGATTCATCCGGCTCCATGTACATGTCGGAATCGTCGTATTCTTCGCCTACTTCTGACGCCGACGCCACGGAGTCCTGAAATACAGAAAAAAGTTCCCCCTCAATTATACAGAAAATTAACGTTGCCTTTCAAACAATAAACATCAATGCGATCGAGAGAAAGTCTACACATATGCAATCAACGCACGAATAGAAAAATGTTTTACGAGTCACTAAAACGTACTCTCCTAAATTCAACAGCTTGTCATTCATGAACTTTCCTCGCGCTTTCAAATGTCTTGTTACGTATATCGAAAATCCGTGTAATGAGTGGAACAGTCAGTCAACTTTAACATCAGGAAATTGATTTTAAATCAACTCTGTCACGAATTACCTACCATCAGTGGTCGTTCATGATACGAACGTGACAGAAGAATATTAAATTTTCTGTTATATAATCTATAGTATTTTAATATTGTTTCACAAAGTAATGTTTTTACAAATGATAACTTTTAACATTAATTCAATGTTACACGATGATGAATTACGCGTTACGAAAATTAAAACAAAGATTCTAAATTAAAATTTGCTTTTTTTTATCACCCTCATACAGCATTGAATACAGCACTTACTGAACTGTACGTAAATACAATAAAATATTCATTAAATTATGAAAAAATAATGAAAATTGGTCCAATGAATTCTCACAATGATTTAGATTATAAAACTATTACTAGAATTCATTGCAAGAATGAATATATAGTTGTATAAATGAATCCAGTTATTGTATCAATGAATTAACTACATAAAGTCGGACATTGATTAACGATCATTCATTGGACCAAAAATGAACAAAATTTTTTTCAGTGTATCGCCTTTTCAAATCTGCACTTTTCTGATTCGAGAAAATGTTCTCAAAAAACAGAATCGATATATGGAAAGAATGATTTTACTGGAGTACCTAAAAATTTAGCTAAATACAGATCTGAAAATAATTTTGTTAAACTATAAAAGTAATTCTGTAGAATGTTCGAACTGATTGTTAAAATATTAAAGTTTCTTCATTATATTTGAATTTCCTATATAATTATTTTGATGTTGGTTCAACAAAATTATTTTCAGATTAGCATTTATCAAATGTTTAGATGTTATGAAAAATTGTTCTTTTTGTGTATAACCACTATATACCGGAACTATCACTTTCTATAACATTCTCAGAATTATTTTGTAGTATCTATAATGCAGTGAAGGCTGCAGTGATTAGAGATTATTCAAGCTTGACAGGAAAGGTTTCAATGAATGCGAGGTTCCCTTTCGCGGAGTGCATCAGCCGAGCGTGCAAGCCAAAGAGAGACGGCTTGTGCGTTCGAGCAGTCCACCGTGTCCTCGCCTTGACATTTAAGGCATCTTCGTGCCAGCGACCGTCTGTGCAAGACCAGTTACCATAAGTACGTCATGATTCGTGCGTTAGTATAGCGTCTATACATACCGTTCTACAATAGTGCGTTTCGATTATGTACGGTGCACGCGTATGCTTACGCGTCGCGACCGACGATAACACGAACAAAACGCATAGACGGTCGTTGAAATCAGTTGCAACACGTCGGTGACACGCCTAGCATTGTTATGAATATGTCAGGTCAGCACTCCAACATAACTGTGACTGCCTTC